TTTATTTCATTTAAATTCCCACTTGATTTTCTTTTTTGGCTCCCCGTCCAACCAAAAAGAGTAAGAGCTTGAGCCAGATAAAGAAAGAGTAAAAAATATACATAAAGAAAGACACAAGATATGAGAATGAATTAAAATTTAACAACGACAACTGACAATCGCGCATTTATCCACCGAGTTCTCTCAGTAGTCTGGGCAACCCCGCGGGTGATCCTCCATTGTCTCTCCGTCCTTTTTGCCCCTTCATGCCTTACCCCCTATTCCTCGCATAGCCACCCGGAATACAGTAGTTCCAGTGCCTACAACGTGATTCTCTTCCTTTTAACACTCCTTCCCATCACCCCAGTTCTCATTCGTGGCGCCTGGCTCTCCACCACCACGGCACTACCACCAGGACCCTGGTTAGGAAGCGTGCGATAATAAATATAGAGAAAATGAAAAATTATTAAAAACTTCCTTTTTAGCCTCGGTAATCCTCGTCGCCCCCAGAGACGCCGCATTAAAAATCCTACCTTCCCTCCACCCCCGCTTAGTTCGCGTTTTCTTCATCCTTTCCCTCATCCTCATCCGCGACCCTCCCCAGCCTTCTACGGCTCTGTTCATCCTCTTGCTCTATACGAGCAAAACCCAACTCTTATTCTGCTACCCATGATTCCACGGTCCTCGCGGGGGTACGCGTCCGGCCACGCGAATTATTTATACGCGAGAGTCTCTCTGACGACATTACCACTGTGTTTGTATTAAATCATAATGAACGACCCGTTACCAGTTTTAGCTGAGACGAACTCAGGTGGATGTATATTTTTTTACTGTCGACAACTTCCTTTCTTTTTGTTCGAGAGCTTTCGTTTTTGTTCCGAATCCTGGGATACCATCAAATATTAAGTTGTTATTTATTATTTCGCTTACAGGATATGTTTTACCCGGGCTTAGCTTAGAATTCGGGTTAGATAGCTACTCAGGAGATTAGAGACTTATTGAAGGCTATCCGATTTTGACCATCTTCTTGCCTAAATTTGGTCGATTAATAATTCTATAAATTAAGTGACCTAAATTATAAATCAATACTAATAACCTGCATACTAATAACCTGCAATCAATATGTGACTGCTGAGATTTACGGATTATAAATAAGAAAACTTTGGCTTAATGATTTTTTGATATTTAATACACTCTACACAATAAATTTAATGATAATTATATCAACTTTAAATCAACAGGTCGGATATATGTATTATTGACAGCGCAAAAAATTCAAAGAGCCGATCATTGACATACCATTGACCCTATTATTAACAGGTCTTTTATCACAAGTTTATATTATTAATAATCATTTTACTAACTAATATGCAAAACTATCAATAATTTTTATTATTTTAAAATTCGTTTAAGACCTAGCTTTTCTATAATTTTTACCAGGTTTTTTTTTTAGCAATTTTTTCTAGTCTCAAATACTTTGATTCTTATAAAATCACATGACAATATGTAAACATTAATACGTTGATATGTATGTTGAGGGGGTTAGGTTATCTTAAATTATGGCCTATGTCGTTTGTTGACGCAAGTTAATTTTTGTGTCCCCATCATTGACATCCGCTATTTTTAAATTGATTTTAACTCGTTAGAGTATAAATAAATGATTATATAATTATTTAGACTATAAATAATCTAAAATAATTTTAAACAATGCAATTACATTAAAAAAACATTGAGAAATCTGGATTTGAAAATAGGGTCTTTCTTAACAATATTGTTAAGAAATTACAAACGTACAAGCAGTTTTGGCCTACTTGAAGACATGAAATTTTTTTGCGGTAAATAATTTATACCTTGGAATTAAATTTTACTAGTTTTTAATTTTTAAAATATGTAAGATTGCCATGAAATATCAATAATTGTGATTATTAACAGATTCTAATAATGAAATAATAAAATTAAATAGGGTGTCAATAGTGGAGGCCCTGTAAATAATAGACGTTTTTACCTCGCTTACGAAGCGTTGAAAACGGAAATTTCGTCACTAATTAGTTGTTTGAATCGAATGTTACCATTTAATTTCATAGTTTGATGAATTTTCTCTTCCAATTAATAAATCCAAACAAAGAAACCAACAATTCGCAATAAATAATCAAATTGACTTGAGCAAACAATAAATTTCCATTGAAAGCACCAAGACTATTCCTTAGAATAATTCTGTAAGAGACATGTCGGATTTGTAGAGGAAAGGAAAATTGCTATTAGTGACTGAAGCAGCCTCCATCTATCTATACCACAATACCGCGTTATTAATTATGAGAGATTATGATAAGACACGGACAATGAGCTCGTATTGATATATTGATAAAGTATAAATAAATGATAATATGGTTATTTAGACTATAAATAATCTAAAATAATTTTAAGGAATGCAATTACATTAAAAAAACATTGAGAAATCTGGATTTAAAAATAAGGTCTTTCTTAACTATATTGTTAAGAAATTATACAAACGTATAAGCAGTTTTGGCCTACTTGAAAAAATGAAATTTTTTTACGGTAAATAGTTTATACATTGGAATCAAATCTTACTATTTTTTAATTTAAAAAATATGTGAAATGGCCATGAAATATCAACAAATTTGATAATTAACAGATTTTACTAATGAAATAATAAAATTAAATAAGGTGTCAAATAAGGTGTAAAATTAAATTTTGTTAAATTTATTAAAAAGTCTTGCAAATTTTCTATCGTAAAATTTTATAAAATCTCGCAGAATTCCACAAGTTTTAACAAAATTTCATAATAAATTTTTTTCGGACTAAATCAAATATTTTTCTTCGCGCTCTGTTTTGAACTTGTTATTATCATTTGTAAAAGTTCATAGCCGATTTCTATAGAAACTTCCCCTGTGAATGTCAGAATCCCGCTTGCGTACTACTAGCAGTAGTTCCTTCCAATTCACATCTATGCTCATGAACCGCATGCGCACAACTCACTGTACTCAGCTGTTCCGAAAAACATTCTACACGACTATAATTACAGACGCACGTGGTGATTAACTTTGTTACTAAATAACACTAAACACTGAAGTAAATTAATCTTAATTGCACTACAATTAACTAAGTGTTGCTAGTATTTTTAATTATATTAGTGTCTGTCATCTAAATAATTATTCCCGCTGCAAGACCCGGAAATGTAAGTAATAAAATTATTTACTGCTCTAAATAAATTATTAACTCGCCGATTATGAATTTGAAAATGTTGTATGTTTTTAATTTCATTCAATTAATTGTTGCTTAATTAATTAAATTATAAACAAAGTTATAATTATTTTTTTACACACAACACAAACGTTTTTTATTTATTTAGTATTTTTTAATAAATCTTGCACATTTTTTATAAAAACTAAAAATATTTTAGAAAATTTTTAAAACAAAATAATTAAGGAGGTTCGAGCGAATTTAATGTGAAAAATAATTTCCAACTTTAAGCTTTGAAATTAAGTATACGTATAAATAAATACGTCATTTATCTAATCCCAAAATTTTAAAAAGATTCACCGTTTAGTTACTTGGATATTAAATTTCAAAAATCACATTTTTTATCTCCTTATACACGGGCTTTTATGGCGGACAAACTTTAGTTGAGACTCGAATTATTTTTTTCAATATTAACTTCCCAACTGTAACGAATAAAAAACTATACCCAAGAAACTTGGATTATTGTAAAATTTAAAAAAAATTTAATAATAATACATTACCGATATAATTTTTGAAATATTTAAAGTTAAATTTTATTTTTTTGACTCGTTTATCGTCAGCTATTTTTTCGAATAAAGATTTGACAACGTCGCGTCAACAGCTGAGAAAAAAGGAAAGGATAGAAGTATAGTTACAGAGAGAGATATATTTAACTCACACATTCATGCACGTCTCTGTAATGGTTATAATCAAACGCGCTGTTGCCAAATCTGTTTATTTAATCCGGCAAGTAACAAATACGAAAGTCATTTTATTACTTTAGTTTATTAAATAAGTAAAAATCATCAATTATTAAATTGTTCAAATTATTTTAAATTAAGATAAAGAATTTTGACGAATATTGGGAAGACTGAAAGTAAAAAAAAATTTAAACATTATTTTGACTTATAAGTTATGCTCAAATCTCCTTTATAAGAAAATTCGAAATTTTTTATGATAATAAATAGCTAATTTAATGCATGGTCAATTTTTTTTTCATTGAACAAATAACTCACGAAAATTCTCGTAAAAAAAATTTTTAACATGCAAACTTTGAATATTAATTTTCATAGCATTAAATGTAATATTTAAATTTTGCAATGCAATTTTTACAAAATCTATAAAAATTACAATCTAAAACTGTAATTTTTCCTTTTTTGTTTTTCTATATTGAAACAAAAAAATTATCAACAAAATAAAATTTTCAAAATAATTTTAAAAGCCATTAAATTTTAACTTTTTTTTTAATGTTTAAAAAAATATAAGAAAAAAAACTTTCTACCTTCAAAAGTTTATAAAAAACTAATGATACTTTTCGAAATCTAAAATTTTGAGAGAATTAGACTACTTTTGTTTCCCAATCGCTCTTTTTAATATCACTAGAATTTAAATTTGCGCGTTACGAATAGTTTGATGCCACATACATTTCATCTCAATTTTATTATAGGGTTAAAATAATAACATAGTTACCTTAGAGTAATCTTCAATTCTTCATCAACAATAAATCATTATACACGGAAAAAACGGATATCTTGTCCCAAAAAAATTTTATTCTTCAATTTAGTACTTTTGGCTCGAAATTGTTGCTTCTCAAACAAAAAAAACTTACTTTTAGATTAATAAAACAAAAACTTGCGCATAAAAATTATAATAAGACGTTTTTTAGTTTTCGTCGAAAAAATTTGATCTTGACGAGTAATTTTAATATTTTAGATCGAATATTCATTAAATTCGGCTGCACCAATCAATTTTCCACCAAAAATATACCCAAGAGCTTAAAAATGGGCAAAGATCGTTACCTAAGTTTGAGTGACGTCAACGTGGTGACAGTATCCGAACTAGTGAACCGTCGCTTCTTCGACTTCTATGCTCTGCGTAAGTACGACATAGGGTTGGACAAGCCGCTATCATGCACGCTGTTGTACGCCGCAGTGATGAACGCCGACGAGGAATGTGTGGACTTGATCCTTCCTAAACTCAGCAGCGTTTTCGCAGACAAAGGCGGATTCTTCGTCAAGCACCACGAAAGCGCCGTGCACCGCGCGTTGAGCTACCAAGACTTCAGTATCCTCCGAAAGTTGATTGAACACGGTGCTAGCGTCAATGACACTGATTCCGTGGAGCATGAAGGACAACCACTGCTGCACTTTGCTGTGGAGAAAGGCTACTACGAGATAGCCAAGTACCTAGTGGAGAAGGGAGCCGACGTCAACATGCCAGGACACGGCAGCCACTGCGAAACTACTCCGTTGATGGAAGCTGTGATAGGCGGATCAGAAGACATGGTCAAGCTGCTGGTGGAGAATGGCGCTGACGTCAATGCTGAGGACAACGAACAGGATACTCCAGTGACGGTAGCAGCTACAAGTGGGAAGTTTGAGATCATGAAGCTTCTGCTGGATCATGGTGCTCGTGTTGATCTGATTATACCTGAGTCAAAGTGGAACGGTAAGAAGTCGATCATCAACGAGGTCGTCTGCACAGGTAACGTCCAGGTCCTGAAGCACTTGCTGGATAGATTCGAGGTCGACCTAACAGTTCCCACGGGAGATCTAGCCTGCTCAACGCTCGCCTTCGCGGTTATGGTCAGAGCTAACAATGGTCCCTCGATCCAGGAGCTGCTGGATGCTGGCAGTGACGTCAACAGTCTATCTTACGACAACAAGCTGCCGATTGAGATGACCAGGACCTTTGATCTTAGTGACAACAAGATCCTGGTCAAAAAACACGTCGTTAAGTTGATGGCTGCTGGCCAAGAAGTTTGTGAAAAGAACCTTGAAGCTGTTCAAGACCCAGAGTTTGCTGATCTGAGGCAGGAGTGTGATGCTGAACTGGAAGAGTTGAAGAGCACGAAGCTAGAAGGCAGTAATGTTACGCTATTTGATATCTTGTTTGGAAAAGTGGTGAAGAAGAAGATGAAGAAAGTTGATGTTAAGAAGTCTATGGAGACTTTGGAAGATTATCCGTTGTATGGACGCATGCTGTTTTATCGGCTGAAGAAATTTCGTGGGTGAATTTTCTGATTGTGCCGCTAGATGGCGAAACGGGACAGTATTTTTTTTTAATATTATTCATTGATCATTTTTCACTAAGATGTACTTTTTTTTATTTTTATACTATGTATTTTTTTGAAATATAATTCTGATACTGAATTTTTGAATCAATAAATTATTGAAATTATTAAATTCAAACTTCGCGGAAAGTTCCAGATTTTTTTAAATTAAAATTTTTTTTTGAATTCCAAAGATCAGAGCTTCAGAAACAACTCGATAACAATTTCAACTATTAATCACAATATTAATTGAAAATTGAAAATTTTTTTTTACCGTATAAATTTTTTGGCCCTCGTTAATAATTCACCTGACACAGCTGAAATCTATGATTAAGAACACAGATTCCTTTTATACTTACATCCTTGGAGGAAGAGGTGTAACAGAAACGTTAAAATATAAGTAAAAAGTTAAAAATTTAGTAGTTTAAGTGTTTAAAACCAAAACAAGAAAATAATCGGAGCTCGCGAGAATAAAATCGGAGTTTGCGAGAACCAGTCAAAGTCAAGAGAAGAATCAGAGCTTGCGAGGACCAGTCAAAATCAAGGAAAGAGTCGGAGCTTGCGAGAACCAATGGGATGGCTGATGCAGTCCCCACGCAGTCAGCAAACGGCAAGTACGAGTAGTGGGAGAAGTCCCGTGGTACCGTGGAGGAGGGAGAACCACGGAGTGGCGCGCTCGCGCATCTTCCCCCTCTACCAAACTCAACGGGTTAAAAGACGGTGCATTGCCGTGGAAATTCACAGTGATCCGAGGAGCAGAAGAAGACGGACCAAACCAAGGAGGACCAGCCAGCGGACTCAACAGCAGATTCAACAGCAGAGAAGTCAACAGCGAGTACAACAGCGAAGTACAACAGCGGAGTACAACAGCGGGGTCAACAGCAAGTACAACAGCGGGGAATCCAGAGCCAACAGAGCCGAGGTCGAGGACTTGGACAACATTAGTCAAAGGGACAACAACAGTCGGGAGATAGGAAGCCATCCAAGAGTCGGAGCGGTGTCAACGACGGGGTCAAGGTCCAGAGGACGGTGAATCCAAGTCAAAGTCAGGAAAAGCAACGGCGGAGTTCAACGCAAGACCCAAGGCGAAAGTACCTCGGAGAATTAGGCGTTCAGATACAACAGCGGAGCTAATTTTTCTGGGAATCGCCATCTTTTTAATTATATTATTTCATTTTATAATTTTGTTAAATAAAGACAAAATTCATTCTTTTTAATCTGAGGGTTATCTTAGTGAAAAACCTGGTTCCCGGCGAGCTATTCTATCACCTAGAATAAACTTATTGAAAGTATTGTAACCGTGGAGATAATTTCTCCTTACAGGAGAAATTAAAATATTCAACACGTTACAGAGGATCATGAGATGTCTGCTTGGATTCAATAACCACTTCTGGTCTAAACTTGGATCTCATTCTCGTACCACCAGCATCGCTCGTCATTGTTCCAAATCCAGAGCAGGCATTGCTAAAATTAAAAAATTTATTATTATTTATTTGTTGATTAAAATCTTAATTATTAGCAGAATTTTTATTTACCATTAATATGAAAGCACTGCGACGATTAGTATAAAAATAATATTTTTACAAAAATTCATCGTGATTAATTTTAGCTGTGTTGAGGTAAACTGATAATTCTCAGGCAAAACGGTCAATTTTATATACTGAAGACTATCGGTGACAGTATTTAATGGCTCAATTATTAAATTAGACGAGAGTTTTGAAGAACGAATTTAACGATCATTAACGAATGTGCTTCCCCGTTCAAAAAATAATTAAAATAATCTCATGTGGGTTTATTCCATCGCCTTGAGTTAATTTGACTCATAAAAATGACACGCAGTAAAAAAAATTTTTCGAAGCAATGTGATTACTTTTTGTTATCAATTTTTAACGATACCATAAGTGATAACATAAGTGCAAATTAGGTTTTTTAAAAAGATAAATCTATTCTTTATCATGAAAAGTTTTCAATTAATGTATTGACGATAAAATAAAATCCCTATTTTCATATTTTATTAAGAAGGAATAATCATGTAAAGTTGAAAAATCCAAAGTAACAGGCCTTTCTGCGGAAAAAAAATTTAAAGGAATTATTATAATGATTTTATCGTAATTTATCTTATATAGAATTGTAGTGGTGGACTATATCTTTCATATAATAATTTTTTATTATATTTGCTCCAAAAGTTCCACTTTTGAGCGCTGAATGGCGTCCGTAAAGTGACTCTTTTCTAGAGACTCTACCATACACAGAAAAAAAAATTAACTTGATACAAGAGAAAAATTCTTGAACCAAGAATATTTTGAAGAGAGTAACTATCTTGAATCAAGAAAAAAAATCCTTGAATTAAGTAAAATTTCCTTAAATCAAGAAAAATATTGTAGGTCATTTAGCAGTTTAGTGGCGATTTTAACGATTTTTTTTCGATATTCGCTTTAATGTTTCGAAGCTTGTTTGTATTTTATTTTAATCAATTTTATTATGGAAAATGAGATTATGAGGCGTGCACTTTTGGATTTTCCAAACTTCTTATATTTTTGTTGATTAGAGGAGGTGTCAAAATCTACTTAACAAGTTTTCAGATAAAACAACCATTTTATTTTCTCTTATATTTACAAATTGCAAAATATAAAGTCAACAATTAAAAACCTATAAAAAATACTGTTCAACGGTCAAATTTCCCCCACCCTAAATATTTACAAATAAGTTCGCATGTAATGCAGAACAATGCACTTTATCCTGTGTGCTTTGTTGGCTTTGATCGGAATCTTATCTTCCTGGCGATTTTTGAAGAACTCCATATCAATGTCATCCATGTTGATGAGATCCTCATCTTCGGCAAGAACCGCATTGACCAACCAGGTGCTGGTGAACAATCCGTACGGTGCATGATTTTTGAGCTGGTTCCTGAACCAGTCCAACGACAGTGCTTGGACGTCAGCATCCTTGACACGTAACTCTCTTAAAATTTTGGTAAAATGCCGGTGATAAATCTGGATCAGCTCGTCGTATTGGCTCTCAATAATCGGCGACTGAGCACTCGAATAAACAAAATAGTGGAAGTCGATCGCGGCAGACACATGTCGGACAATCTGGAAGTCAATCAGCTTGACGTCGCACACACGCCCACTGGCGTCGTGCTTGAACAATATGTTGTTGTTCCAGCAATCCCCGTGGCTCATAAGGTTGTATTTATCTTGTGCAGGCTTTGTAAGAGCTTTCATTGTTTCTAAAACAGCTGGTCTTTGGGAATCCAAGAATTCAATGGCTTTGACCAACTCGGAAGTTTGTTCGAGCGATTTTAGATGCTTTACTGCTAGGTCGATGCTCATCTCGATTGATTGTCCGAGTGAAGGTGTCTCGTCTTGCGGGAATAGTATTTCTTGCAGAGGTGCCATTAGTTCCGTGAAGAGTGAAGGGTTGCTTAGTTTCAAGGCCAGAGATGTTGCATGGAGGGATGCCAATTTCTGGAAAAAATTTGACATTGCTCTATTCTCTCAGAGTAGTGGATTTTAATTTAAACGTTTTTTTTGTTACCTGAACAACAGCCGTACAGTGTTCCATGTCAAGAAGATTGCTCCTCGGTTGCACAACATAACCTTCTAGTCGAAGATCATCCATAACAATCTCATCCGGGCTAGCATAAATGTACGGCGGCGCTATATTCTTGAAGTGCGGAAGTATATTTTGATAAACATGAGCTTCGTTTTGGAACACTTCAGCATTGCGGACCAATTTGGCAGTTGGGCGCCAGTGGGGACAGTGTTTTGTTACTACTGTCTTGTTGTAACCTGCAAAATATACATGATTTATTTTAAACTGCGCACGTATATGACGCATAAATGCGTGCGAATAATTTTAAAAATTATTCAACTGCTTTTTTTCGTCAATAAGTAATTAGCAAAGTGTCAGACACATTAAAGTCATTAAATTATCAATTTTTGCATAAAATACAAACTTTTTCCATTTCCAGATTTTCCATTGATAGTCGTACGGATAACAACTGACAGATAATTGTCTCCAATCTTACTTCCAGATTCATCAATGCAACTAGTTACTTCTAACTTCGGGTCGTTCTCATATTTCCTTAAAATAGTTTGGAAAAACTCTTTGGCTTCTAAAACAAAATATTAAATAAATGGCAAAAAATGTATTTGAACATATCAAGTAACTAATTTTTAAAAATTAAAAAAAATTTTTTTTCTTAATAGGGTGTATGTTGAAAAAAAAAATTTTCTTGCGTTTTCCAACCAGATTTTTACTATTACTAGAATTTAATTTTCGCGCGCAAGCGCGTGCCTCATATTTATTATCATGGTATATTTATGTGTCGTTTATGTATAGTATATTCACTTTCAACCAATCAGAATGAGAATATTTATTTTCGACCAATCATAACACGAATAGATTGGTTTCACATACATTTCATCTCAATTTTATTATGGGATACATTCCCTAGTTTGAGAAAAAAAAATTTTTTTTACGCCCTATTTGTTCTGCCAAGTAAAAAAGACGTATATTTTGAGATGCGACCTTTTGGCATCAGTACCGCAATATATGTTGACATTTTTTTTTACACAAAATATATTTTAACTTCTGTTCCCTTATATGTAGTAAGCAAAGTCAATAAGATAAAGACGGTTATTTATTTAACCTTGTCTATTGCAAGTTTTGTTAAGAAAAAAAAAATTGCTCTCTGTAATCACAGATTAGAACGTGTCAGATACGGGAAATAGGTGAGTAAATGCTACTTCAATGATATAAGTTGTCACCGTCCTTGCACGAATGCTTCTCAAAGCGGTAATTTTTCCCAACCTTGATCTTCCGGTAATGACATCAATTTATTGGATCGTGCAATCTCTATCATGCCTTACAATTATTATTAATTGTACTTCACTACTGCATTTAATTAGTTGCGAGAGATGATCATGGAACTTTTTATAATCGCTTATTCATATAAAAAAAATTCATCTACTGGTGTAAAAAAAATTTTAATAATTATTCTTGTTAATCAGGTGCACTTTATTACGGATTGGTCATTTGGTATTTAATTGTATACTGAAAAAAAGCTATCGTGAGTCAAGTACAATATTATTGACTTAAAACGCTTGTAGGAAGACAACAAAAATCTTTATTGAAGGATGTTTTGTTCTTAATTTTAATAATTACTATTCTTAATTCTTAATAATTAAATAAAGAAAAATTTTTTTTTTTCATATTTTTTGACTCTTTATTTCGAATAATGTTTTGTTGAATCAAATTTAATTAATCAACGCTAATTCTGTGGAGATAATTAGTCAAATTGTAATAAAAAATCCTTTGTTTCCTTACAAAATTAATCTGCTGTCCTAATAAAATTATTTTGAGAAGCTTTTATTAAAAATTATTATTGAATTTATGATTTACAATTTTGTTATTTTTTTTGTAAAATGTTTTTTTTTTTAATTTGTCTTACAAAATTATTAGTCATTCGAAGAAAATAATTTTTTCGGAACTATATTATACTTTTTCTTAAACTAAAAGTTTTTTCATCATGACTAAGTTAATTTTTTTTTTAACTATTAAATTAAAAACAATTGATTCAAAAAACTAGTTGTATTTTTTGTTTTTATTTACAATTAATTTTGACATAATTAAAGAAAAATTAACTGGACGGTATTTAATGAGATTTTAGTCGTAAAAATAGAAAAAAATTTTTTTTTCATTCATAATTTTTTTCAGCGTTAGAAACAAAGTTAACAACTCTTAAAAAAGCTCGTGTCATTGGATACGATAAATAATGAAAATTTAAAACAGAAGAAAAAATTTCCATCATTTGAATTCAATTAAAATCGGCTGTTGATGGTAAAAACAAGCGTCTTGTTTTGAAAAAAGCATTTAAAGATTGAAAAAAAAAATATTGTAAATTTCGTCCAAAAATCGCACATGTTTCCGAACACTTTAGCATTTAAAACTGAACAAAAATTCAACATTTTGTCATTAAAAAAAAAAAAACTTTTTTCCATCTCAAAAATAAAAAAAAAATCTCTTATCGTCACACTATCCTTAAATTTTTCCGAAAAGTTGCTCAGAAAACAAAATCACTCAGTTTCAAAGTTCAGAAAATTTCCCAAATCGAACAAAAATTCCTCGAAACTCTCTAATAATTTCCATTAAAATCATTAAAAAAAATAAATTTTCTTTTCGTTCAAACAATGATAGTACCTGACACACTTCTGCGCTCCATTTGAACAGTAGTGCACTAGGCCTAGGCCAACGAGGAACTATTCCGATAAACTATGCGATTGCCTTATTAAAGTGTTGGTCATTCAAGGAGACGATGATAATCAATGCACTTGCTTCTCAGTTTAAAAGTGCAATATATTGTCATACTTATTTCTGCAATGTGTCCATCCCTCTCTCTTTCCCTCTATGTACGCACACACATCACACAAGGCTCAATTCATTTCAAACTATCAATTATCTTGGATTTTTCCGTGATCCCTATTTATTAATAATCAGCATAAACGCGGAAACAATTAGTTTATCAGTTACATAATATTTTTTTTCTTCATCCACGTAAGTTTTAATAATTGCTTTATTAAGTTTATGTTCAATCGCTTCTGTCATTGCAACAATTGAAGCTGTTTATTTTTGTCCATTTTTTCTTATAAAACTTGATAAGAATACGCTGGCGTAATGCTTATCAATGTTGATTATTTTTCTTATTATTCTTTTCTAATTATATGTTTACTGACCTTGAAATAATTAAATGTTTTTTTCAAGATAAATTAAAAAAAAAAAAGTTTTCATTCATTAAATGCTTTTTTTTACTTTTTAAAATTTTATATTATTTTTTTTTAAAAACAGTTAATTTTTTTTTTTTAAACATTATTATTTAAAAAAATTTTTTAACTTTACTAAAAAATAAATTATTCTTTTCTAATTATATGTTTACTGACCTTGAAATAATTAAATGTTTTTTTCAAGATAAATTAAAAAAAAAAAAGTTTTCATTCATTAAATGCTTTTTTTTACTTTTTAAAATTTTATATTATTTTTTTTTAAAAACAGTTAATTTTTTTTTTTTAAACATTATTATTTAAAAAAAAATTTTTTTTTTTCAACAAAAAAAAATTGTTTAGAATTGAAAAAAAAAAAAAAAAAATTTTCTTCTAGTGAATAAAAAAAAATTAATCAGAAAAAAAATTTTTTTTTATTTATTGAAGTAAAAAAAAAAATATAAAAAAATTTTTTCATGAAAAAAGTAATTTAAAATTTTTTTTTTTTTTCAAGTTTTAAATTTTCCTGAAAATAATTAATTCTTCCTGGGTGATAGACTGAAATATATATCTACTCACCTAGTAACTCTTACTCTTGTATGGTAATACAAATTTTATGTGAATCTGGGGAGTTGATGACTTAACAGAGGCGTCTTTCGTTCTCGAACTTATCAGGGTGGTTAAATTGAAAAAGAGCATAAAAAATATAAAGGCAATAGGCAGCGCCAGCAGATTACTCTAGATAAGAAAAAAAGGTAAAATATTCGTTAAAATAATGGGCAATTCATTTTACGTATGCTATTCTCAATTTCTTGGTTCACCTCTACCATCTTCTGCACTCACCTCTTTTATCATCCTCTTTTTTGTACCCGTCTCCTTCCTCCGCGAGCTTAAAGACGAATACCATTAGCCAGTGCTCTGTCTTTTATAGAATAAGGGAGCGATCGTCTTTTATCCGTTAAAACCGTTAACTCCGAAAGACATCAAGGGGAATAAGAATTAGCTGAGCCTTGAAAATCGATTTTATTATTTAATTTCTGCTAAATTATGAGTCAAGTCTTTGACAGTTAATGCAAAATATGAAAAAGGTTGATGATTGTGGAGGAATAATTTTTGTGATTTGAAGAATCGATCAATGTGCATTGATAAAAGGATTTACGTCTATTTAATATGATTTAATAACAGTTACTAAATCATTTATTACAGCCCATTCATTTCTACCAAATAATTATTTAGTAGTAATTAACGAATTATTTATTACTACTCAATAAATCGTTTCTCGGCAGTAAAAAAATTAATTTTTTAATTAATTTTAGCGTTAACCTAATTTTTTTACTCAAAATAAATCAAAATAACTGAAATAAATAAATTTAACTAAAAATATAAGGTATTATAAAAAAACAGAACCTCATTAAATTATAATTTTTTATTGAGACATTTATAAAATTTAAAATTAAACAAGTTTTTAAGTTCCATGATAATTGTTCTCCGGAATTTAATACCACGACATCTGATACCGTGGCAACTGATTTCATGTCAAATGATCCCACTGACAACTTATTCCACCGACAACTGATCGCACCCACCATCATCATCATCATCACATCATCATCACCATCACCATCATCATCATCATCATCATCATCACCACATCATCATCATCATCATCACATCACCATCATCACCATCATCATCATCATCATCATCATCACATCATCATCATCACATCACCATCATCACCATCATCATTATCATCATCATCTGCCATCTACCGACAATTCTTCCCAAAGAAATATTTATTACTTACTATTAAAAATGATTTGGTGAAAACAAATATTTATTTCTATGTAATAAGGCTTTCTTTATATTAATGTAATTTATTTAGAATAAAAAATAAATGACTAAAAATTTTGTTACTAAATCAGTTTAGTACTCCATACTAAATCTTTCTATCAGTGAAGGATTCATTAATACAACTTGTCTTTTGTTATTTAATTAAAATCTTTTACATGCTTAAATGTTATATATCACTCAAAAGTAGAATTAGTATAATTCAATACACTTATCATTAGACTCGTATCTTAAAATTTAACATGATCTATTGCTAAATGAGCATTTAATTACTTACCCTCAATTTCATTATTTGCCACTACCTGAGTGTCTTACAGCTCTCTAATCGAACCTTTACTTCTAAACAAATTTTTCTAAACCTAATTCAAATGATACAACAAAGGAAAAGAAAAGAAAATCTTTAAATATTAATATTATTATTTATTGCTTCAAGCCCATAGAGTCATAGTTCCTCACGGCCCTTCAAAATACATTACAATAAATGTGAAAAAATAAATATAACAACGGATTACAGGTTATATAGTAATAAATAGAACATTATCGAAAAATAAATATAAATGTAATTTATTATATTGTTATACAAAATTTCAAAATTACTTAAAATAATCTTTTTTTTAATTTTAATATCATAGATGTATATTGCCGATTGGCGTATTCTAAATAAATGAATAAATAAAAATAATATCACAAATTAGAATTCCACTAACGCCAGGGATTATCAACCTTCAGCCTTTTTGTCACCAAATACCTGGCCATTTTATAGTTGTTGGCTTTGATGGCTTGCAACAAAGTCGTATTGCCACTCCTGGTCTCTATATTAATGTCCGCTCCACGGATGACCAGGAATGCCGCCATTTTCTCGGACTTCATCAGGATTGCGCAGTGGAGCAATGGAAGATCTTGGTCCTTCCAAACCTCAGGAAGCAGCGCGTACTTGAAGAGTTCGAAGAAGTTA